TCCAAAAAAATCAAAAAATATTTTTTGCTTGAACCTTCAAGTTATAGCTAGAAAAATTATATCAAATCTCAAAACATAACTGTGCCAAATTATATAAAAGTATTTATATAAATGCAATAAATATATCATCAAAATTTTTTAAGTAACTTGAAAAACAATTTTTTTTTTCTCTGCAGATTAATTCAGTTAATTAAATAAGTTGTTCGACTTATTAATAAATTTGTGGCACAATTAAAGGTAGTTAAAGTTTACTCAAAACGCTTTCTTAAACAAAATATTATTTTTTAATTTAAACTACAATTCACTTGATTCAAATACTCCATTAGAATTTATTGAATAGAAATAATTTGAAGTATATATTTAGAACGCATTGAAGTATATATTTAGAACGCAAAAAGACCGATTCCCGACTTCCTAGGAAACGCAAGTACATTTTGAATATGGGCTGTACCATGAATTCAAGCTTTTATTTATTGTTTAAAATTGTCCAAAACATATATATATATATATATATATATATATATATATATATATATATATATATATATATATATATATATATATATATATATATATATATATATATATATACAATGTTACAATAGATTTAAGAAAAACTTTTCATTTACGAATGATTTGTTTTAAGCGTTTATTTCCACACAAAAAAAGAAAATTTAAAAAAGTCTTTAAATATTTTTTTTCTAATGTAATTAAATATTATCAACATTTAAATACATTTTAAAGTTCAAAGAATCAAACCAACAACAACTAAAATTCACATTAAATTGGTAAGATCTTTTTATGTTACCATGAACCGACGTAAGTTGAGTTGTACGTTATTTCTCGCTGTGGTGTGAATGTGGTGTGAAGTAACCTCACAGTGTAAAACTTATTTTGAAAACTAAGAATTTATTTCAGAATTCAGAAAATTTAAACCACGGTGTTATTTTTAGCATAGGATCTAACTATAAATCAAAGGTTTGTCAATGTCAATTAATATTATGAGTAGTTTTCTAACTTATACTGAAAAATTAATGTTTCAGAGGTCTACACAAAACGTCACTAATGACGTAACACTGATGAAAACGGCGGGGTCTTCATTGCATACTTATATAAGCTGACAGTAACTAGGTTTGTGAAACAAGACTTGTGATATATATATATATATATATATATATATATATATATATATATATATATATATATATATATATATATATATATATATATATATATATATATATATATATATATATATATATATATATATACATGCAACCTTGCATGCTTTTCAATGAATTCGATGCATAAAACCTTTATTAATTTCTAATCGATGCATATAAATGCCGATAAAATATAGCAACATTTTCGCCGGATTTCGAGTTTAAATAGCAAATTTGTAGTCATTATTCTAAATATTGTTAAATAACGGACTTTGTGTTATTGAAACAAACATTATGTGTTTTTCGTAGCAGTGAAGAAAAAAATTGATAAAAACTATAAAAGCTTTTTGATAGATAACGAACACTGATGATCATAGTAGATGAACAACTTTTGATAGAGAACAAGATAAGAACATATGTTTTTTTTATTTAGTTGTTGAATATTTGTGTAACATTTTTTTACATTTATTTAAGTTTTTTTTATAACCATTTGTTGTTTAAGTGTTAAACCTTTATCTATTTAAAGTTATTATCACTATTATTATTGTTGGTATTATTATTTTTATTAATAATGCTAACAAAAATATTTCAGAAGAAAGCATGTGGAAAAAGAAACAAAAATTTTATATTGAATACAATATTACATAATAAACTATAAACATTTTATAATAAAATATAACATAAACTTATTATAGAAATATATTAGTTTAACATTTGTAAATAACCTCAAAGATTACGTCAAAGTTTGTACAAATTAATTTTTTAGTCTTAGTTTTTAGGTATTAATGTGATTTTGCGCAAAGTGATTTTTAGTGACAATAAACTCTTCGCTATCGACAAAATTCAAAAAAAATACTTTTCTGAATTTTTTGTCAGAAAAGTATTTTTATTTTTTTTGAAGTTTGCCAGATGACATTAAAAACATATATAAGCAAAACATCATGCCAACATCAAAGCATATAACATAATAAATATCATCTATCTTTAAAAAAGTAGAGCAAAAATATAGTTTCCCGCTTAATTGCAAAACTTATTTATTTATCCTTCCATGCCAATGAAACAGTATTATTGTTCAGAATACTTGAATAAAAGAATTGTTGTGTTTATATTCATTAAAAATTAAATTTGAAGTGCATTTAACAAAAAAATAGCAAATATCATGGCAAAGATTTCTCATTACACTTAAATGATTTTTGACTTACTAGATATAAGTTTTTGGTTGTTGGTATGATTTTGTTGTTATTAAATGTTACCTTATTAGCTTAGCAGTTGTTTTCAAATTGCAAAAACATAGAAATGCGTCGAAACATAGAAATGCGTAGCGAAATAAAAGAGTACAACAATGGTAACTATGTTAAAACTTTGTAATATTCATACTTTGGTGATTTGGCTATGGAGTATTTTATATATAATATAGTTTTAATCTTATTGTCAATATATATATATATATATATATATATATATATATATATATATATATATATATATATATATATATATATATATATATATATACATATATATATATATATATATATATACATATATATATATATATATATATATATATATATATATATATATATATATATATATATATATATATATATATATATATATATATATATATATATATATATATATATATTGTTGGATTATCAGAAAAGAATACGATTTGAATATTGACAGTTCATTTTAAACACTATTATAAAGTCTTTATCAGCAAAGTAATCGCTACTATTATCATTTAAATATGAATTATGACGTATTTTCAAATTAAGAAGCAATATTAGAAATATTTTGGAGTTTTTACATTAAAATTTTTTTATTATTACTAGTTAAATAAAATTATTTTTATATTCAAACATTTATTGTTAAGTAAACTATTTCGTTTATTGTTATGTAAAGAATTTTATTTTAAGTAAAACGATCCTTAAAAAAATGTCAGTGGTTCAATGAAATCCCAGCACGGAATATTTGCATATCCGGTTTTTTTTTTTTATTAACGGAAAAATTACTAATAAGTTCTTTACTAAAAATGATGGAATCAAGTTTCAGAATTTATTAAGGAAAATATACAGGTACTCTTCCGTATAAAATTTTTTCCTTTGAAACGGCTCCTGCGTATTAGAAGATTATTAAAAGTAACGGAAAACGTGCTATATTCAAACGATCGGTTAAAAACTTTAGCTTACAAATTATCACGCTAGTGACAGTTCGGCGACAAATACTATGTCGGTTTTACTTGCAAAAACTTGCGATAATTATTCTTTTCAGGAATTAGATTTTATAGTTTTTTTTTTTTTTTTCCGCGTTTGTGAACATCATAACAAAGCTAAAATTTGCACCTGTCTCTGATTAATCAGAAAAACATTTTATAAAACTTTTGATTCTTGGGCTTTATGCAAATTGAAATAAATACGGGAATCGTTAAGTTATTTGCAGATAAGATTTTGTAGGTTTGTGTTTGACGTCACAACAGTCGATGGACTTTTTTTGATATGACAGCAAAGCCTATACGCGATTAATTTTTCGTAATGGTTACAAATTAATTGAATATTTATTTTAATATAATCGCTTTTCTAAATTATGAAATGTAAGATGATGTTTATTTACTTTTTCATGAACATTTTTTTTTGTGATACTGTAAAAAATTTTGAGCTTAATTATAGAATAAATTCCAGCAAATAGGCTTTTACTTATCTAAAAATAAATACAATATTATTGGCTTAAGATGAATGTATATTATTATACGGGTTTATACATTTGGCAAAGTTTTTTGAAATTTTCATGTAGCAACGTTTTGTTCAATAACCTTGAAAAATTTATAAAAAACTTTAAACGCAAATCCTTTAGAGAATTCTTTTTGCATAAGGTCGATGAATACGCTTATTATTATTATTTTTTAAATTTATTAAAGCACCTTTTCCTCAACAGAAATTGTTCCGCCTTTTATTTAAAAATGTATAGCTTTTTATCTTAAGTTTTATGAAGCAGGAGAAGTGTTATTTTTGTTTAAAGCTCTTAAAACAACTTTTAAAGAATTACAAAGTTTTATCTTGCATATAATCAGAAATTTTATAATCGTTCAAACAAACGTGTACCTTATCTTTATGATTTGAACAGGAGGCCGAGAGATTTTATCTATTTTTATTCTAACATTTGTTTAGTTTATTTACACCATACAATTATTGTTGGGTGCATATTGTTGGATAAATATTGTATAATAAACGAATGATTAAATATTGAGTCTTTCGAATTTTTCAACAAACTGTTTAAGTATCACTTTAGCAAGAAAAAAAATATTGGTAACTTCTTAAACTAAAAGTAAGCCTGAGCGAGCACTTAAAAATTAATTATGAATGAAAAAAACTATAATTGTGTAAAATTCGGATTATAAGATAAGTAATGTAGAAATAATTAGTTATAACAATATTCGCTCACTTCCCCTATGTTCTCCGCTGTTTCCGCTACGAGTTATTATCGCAAAATATAACTAAAGAGCGCACTTTAATAGCTGTTTTAATATAAATGAGTTCGTTTTTATGTTTCATCTCAATGAAATGTATGCATAACATTTTAATAGTTAATGAATGAGCTATGAAAAGAGAAAATCTTTAACAATTCAACATTCAAAACAATTACAAGAAGTGATATGTTTTTTTTTGTGTGTTTGTTTACCATCGGTATTATGTTCGTTATGTTCATAACGCGCTGTATTGAATATACGTTGAGTTTTATAAGCACTAATTGAATATTTACTTATTAGATATCTAATAATAAAGTTATTATTATTATTATTATTTAAATCATTATTGCTATTAATATTATTATTGTTGTTATTGCTTAAATGTTCTTTGCTTTAGAGGACAATATTTAATTAAAGTATAAACAAAATATATGGGTTTTCAATTAAAAAGGTTGTAGAAAGTATGCAAGATTCGAATTCTATGCCAATGTTGCTACTGTTAGTAATTCAATTAGTTTTGGTTGATAGTTTTCGAAATTTCGACGATTTTCCATTGCATGAACCATTGCAATTAGAGGATGAACATTCAAATAACATGCCTAATAACGAGCCTGATTGCTCAAGATGTGTAAATATGTTTAGACTATCAGAAACTGAATATATATCATCAAAAGACACAAAAATATTTTGCATTAGGTTGCTCCAGGTAAAACGTTGCATACAGAAAGAGCAACATTCTTGTCAAAGAAATATTGGTGTGTTAGTGTTAAATACAGGTGTTACAATAAAACAAAATTGGCATAAATGCTCTGATTTTAAAATTAGTGTAAATGATATAAAAAATATTTTTAAAAAACAAAAAAATATTCCTGATGAGAGATGTAAATATATGCAGACCAAATCAGATTTAAGTGAGTTTAAGCATTGTGGTATGTTTGGAGATCCTCATATTAAAACATTTTCAGATCAACGTCAAACTTGTGTTGTAGAAGGAACTTGGTCATTACTAGACAATGACTTCATAGCAGTTCAAGTAACAAATGAAATGGTTCAAGAAACAAAAAGTCAAAGTGCTACTGCTACAACAAAGGTAGTTTTTAGACTTTCATATAAATGTGAAACTTTATTTGTGATTTTTTTTTATTATTGTATCTGTACAGCTAATTTAATTTTAGTTTTTTAATTGTTTTATGAATTATTAATATGGTTTTATTGTTTTTATTATTATTACTATATTACTATTATTGGTTTTATTATTTTAATGGTTATTATTGGAATTATTAATAGGTACTTTAGTAAACTTAGAGTATATGACTTCTTTATTTTATGTTGGTTAAGAATCGTATAAAAACAAGTTTGACAATAATGCTCTCAAATTTGAAGTTAAAACTGTATTGTAAACTAATATTCGATGTTTTGTTCAACCTAAAAAATAGATTTATTTATTACATTGTTTTGATAGCTTTGAAGTTTGATTTTTACATACACTGATTAAAAAACATCAAAGAGCAATAAAAAATCTATGCTTTTTTTTTGTCAAAAAAAAAGGATGAGTTTAAAATAAGCACCTGTTATAAAGTAAACACCTATACTGTTGAATGTTATTTGCAATAAATATTAGCAACACCATTACATCAAAAAAATCTTTAAACAGCTATCAGCTTTTGTATGTAATTTATTTTGTTTTAAATCAAAGCATCTCTTATTAATCTGATCTCATGAATGTCCGAGGTCATAAATCAAAGATACTTTAGTATAAAGTTGGTTTATGATTCTTGGCCAGCATTAAATTTTCCTCAGTCCCCCATGGTAATTAGTCATATCCTTTTGTGCAGGTATCAAACATTGGAAACATTTTATTTTCATTTTAAATGAGAATTTAATATGTTTTTAAAAATTACAAATTTAAATTTGTAGCCTTACTTTTTTTGATTTTAAATTTATTTTTGAATTTTAACTTTGTTCTAGATTTCTATTGTCATTAAAGAGCCTTCTGACAAATGTGTTGATCAAAAGATTTATGAAGCGACTTCTCAGTTTTTACCAAGTATTTTCAAGGATGGTACTTACTTTACGGGTCCCGATGCCTGTCGTACAGCTCTTATTAAACCTAACGATAATGAAATAAGAATTATTTTATGCCATATAAATACTACCTTGTTTATAAAGCGAATTGGAAATTATTTAACTTTTAATATTAAAACACCTAATGAGTTTGTTAATCAGTCTACTGGACTCTGCATAGTTGGATGTCCTGCTAGTGAGATGGTAGATTATAACACTTTTTTTGCCATTAAAGACAATACAGTTGTATCTCCAACTTTAAAAGATAAAGCAATAAATATATGCAATTTAGCAAATCTAACAGACTTTTATTATGACTCTTGTGTATTTGATATTCTTTCAACAGGGGACATGAATTTTGCTAAAGCTGCCTCCATTTCATTACAAGATGCTCGTAGCCTAGATTCAAACATACGGCTGCGTAGGGAAAATAGTATATTATTGAGAGATCAACTTAATATAGATAATAGTTTTGATGAAAGTGTGTCCAGTGAACACTATTCACCATCAAGACTAAAAAGTTCTTCATGTGAACATTTTAATAGGACACATTTAGTTATTTTATCTGTGACTTGTCTGCTTGCTATTTATTTGAGGTGATATGAAAAGTATATTTTTTAAAATTATTTATTGCTAAAATTTAATGTATTATTTTTGGTACTGCGCGCTTTGTATAGATGTTTTATAAGTTCTGTAATGAATGTGATTTTTCATGTCAACATATATTATTTGGTATTTTTTGTTATTGGTGCGTTTTTTTTTTTTAATTCTAAATCTAATTGGTGTGTTTTGTATGCCTTACACAATTTTTCTTTATCTTTTATTTTCTAATATTTGTAAATATTATTTTTAGTATATGTATTTTTTGAAAAAAAATTTCTGTATATAAAGGATATGTAAATTGATGTGGTTTCATGCATTCACAGCATTCTATAAATAAAGGCTATAAAAAACTTCTGTGTTTTAGTTATATAATTAATCAATCAATATGTAAGCTTTTTATTTTTTGTAAATTTTTAATTTTTTTTTTTTTTTGGTAAACTTTTGAATTTTTGAGGGGAATTAGTTGAAGAAAAATAAATTCCAAAATAGAACTATCATTGTTCACACTTCCCATTAATTAGTGTACTATAGCTGTTGAATATGTTTGTTATGTATATGTTACCATTAATAAGTGCAGTGTAGCTGTTTGGCATAAAGTGTAAGTAAAAGTATAGGTAATAAAATTGGCTTATATTTAGCGTAAGAAAATAGAATTTGATAATAAATTCCACAATTGATAAATTATTTAATTTATCAATTGATTTTTTGGCATATTCAAAATAGGAGTTTTTTCTTATTTCATTTTATAAATTGTTTTTGATATACGTACATCTTAAATATGTTTCTTAACCTTTTTTTTTGCCAAAATATATTTCATAATATTGTTCAGTTTATTTATCTTTTTCATTATGGATAAAGTTCTATATCAGACTAAAAAATACATTCCGTCATTTTTTATAATTAAGAGAATACCGTACTTCTTCTCGCTGTTTTTCAAGAGAAAATAGTTACTACGTAGCATAAAGGCAATATTACTATTGACTTAAGTCGTAAGTTTTAAAGTATTGTTGTTTAGAATAAAAATAATTTCACTAAAATGCTTAGATGCGCCAATATGATCATAATTACTTTTAAGGCATATAATAAAGCCAATTAAACTGTTTTTTTTTTAATGATTTGTAATTAAACACTAGAAAATCGGTATCGTGAATCGATATTGAGAGTGATGGTTTTGTATTGCTAGGTATCGGTGCAATAAGTACCGATTCGATACCACACAATATCGAAAATAAAAAAAGTCGAATGGTCACAGATTGTGAAATAAAAAATATAAATTAGTGAACTTGTTATGAACAAAATACAAGTTAGACTTTTTAAAAAAATTTTTTTTTTTTTTGTTAAACTCAAAATTAAAGGCTTTACGAGACAAAAACCACGATTTGATACAAGACTTGAATAAAATACGATACCATTTAAGAAATTAAATGATGAAGATAATTTAAACGATAAATTAAACTAAGATTACAATACCCTATGAAATATTAAATCAAGTGATACGGTATTAAAAATACGATCCTTAATAATTTTAATTATTCTATATGAATCAATTATATAACTCTAACTTATTATATAAATTTACCATTTCAAATCTTTTTTAAGAAAGTTTTATAAAGACAAAATACCAATCATTATAAGAAGAAGAGAGTTGCGAAACCAAACGATACAAATCGCTAACAAAAAATATAGATAAAACCGTTATCTTTATTACAGCATAAAATGATCTCAGTATTGATACTGTAAAAGCTCTTTATACTTTTTGTTTATAACGAGTCCCGATTTTTATTTAGTTATTTTTTATTTATTTATTCATTTATTTAAAATAAGCTTTACAATGTTTTTACAACATAAAAAAAAATGCATTAAAATTTCGAACGGAATCGGGAGAAGACAAGTTCTAATCATTCAGCTTCCATAATATAACTGAAAAATTCAGTTAATAAAAATAAAAGAATAAAGAAATAATTAAAACGAGAGTTCTTTAAACAATCTATTTACTGTCTGCATAAAAAAAAAATTCTCAGTATTTTTTTAAATTCTTTCTTTTATTGTATTTTATTGCACACACACACACACTAGTAAAAAAAACTTTTTAATTTTTCCCATAAATTTTGTAATGTTTATATATTTTTTCGTTTTTGTGTCTTTTTTTCAAAAACTTTTCATGAAGTTTTTTTTTAGAAGATTTATTAAGCATTTTTGTTATCTTAAGCATTTTGTAACTTTTTGAGTTTAGTTTTCTTTTCAAACTAAGGAAACTCTCTTTTGTACAAACTTGTAAAAGTTTAAAAAGATAGTATGCTGTATAAGTACTTTGCAATTAACAATCTGATCCCAATTTTCCATTGTTTAGTTAAATTTTCTTCATTAGTTTGTCTTTTTGTTATAATCATTGTTTTTTTTTTCTTTTTTGTTGCTGAAATAGTATGAGAAATCTTCTTTACCTATTAGGCTGGCATAGATGTATTCATAATACATTATTTCCAGTTTAGGATGTTAAATGCATTAAAAAAACCGACTATAACTTGAAAATCACCTTCTTTGATGGAGGGGGAGGGGAAGGGGAAGGGAAAGAGAATCAGGTGTACCCCTCCCCTCCGCCCCCTCCCCCCACACACACACATATACGCGCAATTATGTCTCTGTAGGCAACTCAGTCTATTTCTCCTAATGAGGGTACAGTTCTAAAATTCAGTTTTATGGTTCTGAGGCCGGCTGGTTGTCAGGTTTAATCCCTGTTCGTACTTTTGGGGTGCATGTTGAAGCCATATTTAAAGACCTTTGTTATAGCTTTGGGTTTATTAATTGTAATTAGGCAATTGCTTAGATTATTAAATAGTATATTTATCTTTCACTAATATTCGTGATCGTCGAAGTAACTATTATTTTGTTTATGATTATTTTTTTCAAAGTTCACCAGACCTATTTGCTCTTTGCGAGACTAACTTGAGTTCAGCTATCCCATCTTGTGATCTTAGTGTTGATGGTTATTTTCTATTGATTCGTAAAGACTCCAATAGTCACATGCTTGGCCTAGCATTTACATTCGTAAGAATTCGCCCATTTGTCGGGAAACTAGGTTTGAATCCACAGACAATTTGTTAATGTGCTTTCGTTTAGCACCACTTCACTCTATCGCTATCCTCTTTGTTCTATATAGCTCTCCTTCATCTCAAGACTGCACTCTTTCCGATGTCATTTCTGACCAGATTGACCAAAGCCTTTCTCTTTATCTTTCAACCAATATCGTTGTTGCTGGTTACTTTAACGCTCATCACACTGAATGGCTTGGCTCAAGTTTAAGTCTCGCGGAAGCATGCTTACTAAAGCATGAAGATCCAAATTTAGATTTGCAGAACTGCGAAGACCAAGGATATGATGGCAAATAAGAAAGAGTTATTATTAACTAAATGCTGAGAATAACTGAAGTTTTTCGTATTAAACTTATAAACGCTGTTGTCCTCCCAATCTTTTTAAGTGTAATTTTTGTAAGCATTTTCTTTTCTGGCACTTTCTCAGCATTTTTTTTTTCTATTTATTTGTTTCTTTTTTTACTTTGATTGTGGCAATTTTTGTTTTATTCTGGTGTACCTTTCAAAATGGGTGTCCTTCCTTTTTTAAAAACGTTCGTGTTAAAACATCCAATGTTCATATCAAAAAAATTTTTGTCATACTGCTTAGATGTTATCAAATTTATTTTTTTTCCTTTTATAATACAAGTTTACAGTTAATAATACAAAAAAAAAAAAAAGTTAATTTCATCTGTACAATTCCTCTAAAATCTTGAGCAAGAAATTTTCACAAAATTATTTAATCTAACTACAAAATAGTAAGTATTTTAGTTCAAACATTTGTAACTTGTTTAGTAATTGTAATTAAGTAAATTAAGTTTAGTAACTTGTTTATCAAGTTTATGAAAATTAAGTGGCCATAAAATCATTACTGTAAACTCAATCAAATATCTTGGAATTATAATTGATTCCAACCTATCATTTGTATCCCATATTAAAAACTTAGCCATAAAATTAAACAGATCAAATGGAATGCTGGCTAAAGTTCGCATTATGTCAATCTGAAAGCACTATTAATTATATATCATGCTATTTTTGACTCACATATACGATATGCTTGTCAAATATGGGGACAATCTTAACAGCAAGCAATTTTAAGGATATCCCATCTTCAAAACAAAGCTTTTAAAATAATACATTTTAAAAATTACAAATTCAATCCTAATGTTCTTTATCTTACTTCTAAGGGCCTGATTATCTGAGGAAATTTGTCCCGCTTTGCCGAGATAAAAACTTCCCGCCTGTAAAAAAATTAAATCGATTACATGTAAAAAAAATTCCTGTATTGTTTCGCTGAAAGTAAAAATAAAATATGGCCGAAAAATCGCTAAAGATCTTAAATGCAATGCTTGTTTCACTTAATTTACAGCAGATAGATCTTGCTCTTGCATATTTGATAAAACAAAGAAGATTATTTAACATTTTTGTAACATTTTCTTTACGAAAAAGAAGTTATTTCTTACAAAGAATTATTAATGCTGTGGAAAAACGTTCAAGGCGAATGCCCCGTAGCATAAGATTAAACCAGGAAGTTCTGAAACTTTTTGGTTTAATCTGTTGAACAATGTTACTACTGCAAATAAATGGAAACTAAATTTTCGGATGTCTAAAGAACATGTGATGGAACTAGCTAATTACTTGCGACCCTTTATCAATTCTGGTAGCAATTCCCTAAACTATAGGGCACTTAGCATTGAAAAAAAATTGCATGCTGTTTATATTATTTAAAAGATACGGGGTCTCTATGGATGACTGCTAATGCGTTTGGTATACATCAATGCACAATGTCTAAAGTAGTATTAGAAGTTTGTGAGGCCATTACATATCACCTTGGACCAAAAATACTTTTTCTTCCTAAAAACAAAACAGAAATGAAAAACAAAATTTTAAAAATGAAAACAAAATTTAATATGCCTCAAGCTTTTGGTTTTATTGATGGAACTCATATTCCAATACCTTTAGAATCTTTACAAGACTACTTGAGGGAGATTCCATGTGAAAACATCCAATTTTTTTTGAAAATGCAACCATAAGTCTCAGATTTTGCTGATTTTTAAACCACTTAAAGAATTTAGTAAATTATGAACATTCTGAAAATTTTATCGTCTAATTTCAATCGGTTCCTAAGATATAGCTATTTTAAGTTTGCCTCCAACCAACAAAAATCCGCCATTTTTAAAAATGGTTTTGGTCCTAGTTTCTGTTATATGTGTGTTGGAAAGCTGAAAATTTGTACATTTACATATTTTGGGCCAACGAATCCAATGAAACAACTTAAAATATTTCAAAACA